CATAACAACAACAACAACACATTCGTTAGTTTATATAATTTAGTGGTTCTTTTTTATTTTTTTTCTTTAAAATCGGGCAAGAAATTACTATTTTATAGTTTCAAGCACGTTATGTAATTATTTGGCAACAACAACAACAACAACAACAACGACAACAACAACAAAAACAAAACAATTATTATTATTTAAATTTTTTTTCCAAACGTGTTTAACATTTTAGTTTTCCCCTTTTCCCCTCCCCCCCCAACTTTTTCCATTCAAAATATCATTGATTTTCAAAAAAAAAAAAAATCTTTAACTAATTATAATAATAATAATAATAATGATAATAATAATAAATATCTCATTATGAAGTAAATCATTGTTAAGAAGAAACAGAAAAAGGAAAAGAAAACGTGATTGAAATATTATAAATTTTATTTAAAAAAATTTTTTTTTTTTTATTCGTAATATATTTAATCATTATTATTATTATTCTATCGCGTTGTAAAATAATAATAATAATTTTTTATCAAGTAATTGTTACGCGATTTAATTAATTTTATATAAAAAAAAAAAAAAGAAAAAAAAAAGAAAAAGATTTATTACTATCGATATTAAACGGTAATAAAATTTAATAGCAATTAATAAAGATGACAATGACAATGATGATGATAATAATGACGATGATGATAATAATAATAATGACGATGATGATGATTATGATGATTATGATAAGTAAATATATATATATATGTATAACCGCAACCCTGTAATACCTCGTCAAAGATAAAAAAAAAAAAAAAATTTATCAGTGAGAGATTTAAGACGACGTTAAAAAAAAAAATTTTTTTTCTAACGATGGTTGTTAGTTGTTGTTTGTTATCATCAATGGTTGATGTAAGTCATCATCATTATCGGATATCCAAATGGATGAAAATGTAAGTTTTCTTTAATTCAATTCAATTTTTTTTTTAATTCTTTTCTTATTTTAAAATGAGTTTGCAAAAATTATTTTGCTGTCAAATTAAAAAAAAAAAAAAAAAAAAAAAAACGTTCCTGTTTTTTTTTTTTGAAAGAGTGGGTTTAAATTATGCAAAGTTGTGAGAATTGCCGTCATAGAGATAAAAAACAATTTGAGATTATTTTCATTGTTGAAATAAAAAAGGCTAACAATGCTTTTTTTTTTTTTTTTAAATAAAAAAATTTTAGATAAGAAAATAAAATGACAATTAAAAATTTTATTATTATTATTATTATTTTAACCGGTTTGGGCTTAAAAAAATATTCAAAAGTTTTTTTTTTATATGACAGACAGGTGTATGAAAGATATTATTTTGCATATAGGATCGAATTATTCCATTTAATTAATAATAATAATAATGCTTACGTATTTATTTATTAATATCGAATATTAATATTAAGGAAGTTAAATTTTATTATTATTATTATTTAATAAATGTCATGGTTGGAGATTAAAATACTTTTACGTAAAAATTTTGCTTTTTTTTTTTTTTTTCCAATATTTACGAAGATGTTTGATTGTTTAATGACGTCATAATTTTTCGTTTCGTTTTGTTCGTCACGTTGCACACGCTTCACCTTTTTCGTTCGTTACGGTTATTTTTTTTTTTTACAAATTCGTTTAATTATAAAATCGGATATTTTATTATAAAACTTAGTTTTTTTTTTTTTTTCAAGTGAATAATATTAATAATGATAATTTAAATAATACTCGTGTGTGTGTTTTTATAAATGACCTTAAAGAATATACACGATTAATTTATTTTTTGAAATAATTGAAAATTATTAATATATATATTAATTAGTTATTTTTTTCCAAGATGGCGGAAATTGAACGCTATGTTATTTCTATTATTTTGACAAGTGTTTAATTTATTCGTGCGAGTTTTGAAGATTATAATAATTATTTTTTTTTTAACGATATATTTTCTTTTTTGTGAGTGTTTTTAAGTATTTACAACGACGACATCAGGAAAACAATGGAAAATTTATTTAATTTTTCTTTTCGGGATAACAAATCATAATAATAAAGTAAGGCAATTTTTTTTTTTAACGTTTCAACCGATTTCGAACGTCGTTTGTTTTTTAAAATAATCATTATTATTATTATTAAAAACCCCTAGCGATTGTTTTTTTTATCATATCGATTACAATTAACGGATTTTCAACATGATAAAAAAATATATATCATTAAACAAATAATGGAATAAAACAAAATAAATTTTCTATCAATAATAATAATAATAATGATTTAATAAGATCTTAAAATACATTAATACCTTCAAAAAGGTAAAAGAGAAAAAAAAAGAAAAAAAAATGAATAATTTGTTTTTTTATGTCAAATTAAAATTTATTATCGTAATTATACGTATAATAAGGATTTTTTTTTTTTTTTCATTATGCAAGAAAATAATTTTTTTTTCAATTCGTCGACATTTTTCCCTACAATTTTTTTTTTTTTTTTTAATGTCTTTTATATCTTAATTGACAATAAAAGAAAAGAAAAAATTTATTGACCTTGAACAATAAATTATAAGTTATCGAAGGTTAATCGGTGATTTTGGTTAAACCTTGTTTTGTATAGGAAAAAAAACCTTTCTCACAGGCGATGTACGCGCGAATGATGAAAAATTCTAAAAAAAAAAAAAAAAATCAGGTACGATTTTCCATCTCTCTCTCTCTAAAGAAGAAAAAGTTTTCGTGCGAAGAGTTAAAAAAATTCCGTTTGGTAGGTAACATTCCTCAAATGGATGATGATAATATCATTAAATGACTCCATGTTGTTGTAATTGTTAAATCCTCCTCGTACATGTGAATTTATTACCGAAAAAAAATCTTGTTTTCCTTCGATTCATACAGACGCGTGAAGGTTCCAAAAGAAATACCAAGAAAAAGGTTACCCGAGGTTATTATTATTATTATTATTATTAATTTCATTTCATTTTTTTTTTAACGGATAATTCAAATGGTTGATCATTTATTACTAAAACCGGATAAATTAAATAACCCGGTAATGATAAAATGCAACACATACAATTTGAACGTGATTTTTCTCTCTCTCTCTCTTATTATCATTATTATTATTATTATTATTCCTGATAATTCGTTCGTAGAATTATTTTAACTGGATATCTTGCAGATTTTTACAATTTATTATTATTATTATTATTTTTCACACTTTTTTATCCTACAAAAAAAAATTAAATTAAATTAATTAATTAATTATTCACGATAGAAATTTATTATTATTATTATTATTATTATTATTATTATTATTATTTTTTAATTAAAATGAATGAAAATTTTTGGAATTCTGGAAAAATTCCAAAAATAGGAAAAAATAATAATAATAAATTTATAAGAAAATTTGTTTTAATTATTATTAACAAATTACGAAAACGGAAATAGTACACGTTTAAATATTTTTAATTATAAAATGGCGTAATAAGTAAAACCGGAAACTTTTTTTTTTTTTTTTTTTTTTTTTAAATTCTTCCCTAAATGTCTGGATGATATAAACGATCACGTGAGAAACAAACACAATCGGAAGAATCTCGAGAGTAACGAAAGGATAAGACGGGGAGGAGGAGGAGGGGAGAAAGAGGCGGAGAAGGGGGAGTAGGTAGAGGAGGTGAGGGGAGGGAAACCGAGGAAAACCGGAACGAGAGGTCGATTGAATAAATTTTGGCGCGAATATAAAAAAAAATTTATTACTTTATCGAAATCATCAAATTTATCATCATTATCATCATCATCATCATCTTCATCATCATCATCATCATCATCATTATTATTATTATTATTATTATTATTATTATTATTATTATTATTATTTATTTATTTATTTATTTATTTGATAAAATGGCGTTTTTAAAAAAAAATATCGATTCTCGAATCGAACATGAATTATCGATTTATCGACGAGTTTCGATTTAAGACAAAAAAAAAATTTATAACAACAAACGTGGCAATAAGAAAAAAAATCGTAAATCGAATTTTTTTTTTCATATGGATGGTCAACGCATACTTTGATTCATTACGTACCTGAATCGCCTTCTCTCTCTCTCTCTCTCCCTCTTTCTCCCTCTTTCTCCCTCTCTCTTACTCTCTCACTCTTTCTCTCTCTCTCTCTTTTTTCTCCTTAACTTCTCCTTCCACTAAATATTAATTTCCTCCTTCTCGTGAATAAACATTGATAAAACATTTTCTTGCAAATTTTTTTTCTTTTTTTTTTTTTTTCATTTTTTTTTTTTAATACGTTTCGTTTCTATGTGAACAAAATACATACGTTCGTATTAAGTCTTTATTATTATTATTATTATTATTACGTTTTATAAAAAAAAAAAAAATGCATTGCAATAATAATAATAATAACTTATTCATGAGAAATATAGTGATTCGTAAAGTGTGTTATATATAAAACGTGTTGTATATACAAATTAATTACATTTAAGTTTTTTTTTTTTTTTTTTTTTTTTTATCGAAGGTAACGAGTGCATTAGTATTATTATTATTATTAACTACTTTGTTTTTATTATTATTATTATTATTATGATATTCAAGAATACGAAGAGACAAATAAAAAAAAAAAAAAAGTTGTATCGAGTAGCCTGAAAATGGTCGCAAGGTCAATGTTTGATGTTTTTTTTTTTTTTTTTTTTTTTTTTAATGAAAACAAATGTAAAACATAAACGTAATAATAATAATAATAATAATAATAATGATGAGAATGATGATGATGATGATGATGATGATGATAGTGATAAAATAATTCGAAGGAAAACAACAACACAAATATTAAATTTACTAGACGAATCCGAAACGTCGTGTCGATCTCTATCATTATCATTATTATTATTTTAATTTTTTTCGAAATTTGGTGAAAAGGGGAGAGAAAGAGGGGAGGAGAGGGGAGGGGAGTAAAGTGAAAGAAGTAGCAGTCGTCGTCCTTTCGGGTTTGAAAAAAGAAAATTTTTTTTTTTTTTTTTTATAGACAAATAAAAATTTAAAAAAAAAAAAAGAAAAATGTCTCAAATGACGATATACATAATAAAGGAAAACGTGTGTGAAAAAAATGATTCGAATCAACGAAACGAAACGAAAGTTAAGGTAAGACCGTATTGATAATAATAATAATAATAAATAATAAATAATAATAAATAATAATGATAATGATGGCGTGCATGCAACAAATTATTAATCTTGGGAAATTTTTTTTTTTTTTTTTTTTTTCCTATCCAACCAATAACACTTTATTAGTTAGTAGTATTAGTCGTCGTAAGAAGTAGTAGTAGTAATAATAATAATAATAATAATAATGGTAATAATGATTACGTTAATGATTGTAAAAAAAAAAAAAAAAAAAAAAAAAAATAATCGTCGAACGAGAAAAAAAAATTTACCTATATGACGAACGAGACGAAATAACTGTAAATTTATTTTATAATTAAAAACTCATTTACGTAAAATCCTTTTGGCGGCCATTTTTATTTTTCAATCTTCGAATTTAAATCCGCCAATTAAAAAAAAAAAAAAAAAAAAAAAAAAAAAAAAACGTGTGAATGTTTTTTCAGAAGGTCATAATCGTTAAAAAATGTAAATTATAATTTAATTCTCTCTCTCTTTCTCTTTCTCTCTCTCTTTCTCCTTTCTCTCTCTCTCTCTCTCTCTATTCAGATCACAATTAAACACGTTTTTTCATTCATTTCGTTGTCATTTAATACTAAAATCGATTGATTGGTTTAAAGAAATGACGATGATGATGATGATGATGATAATTTGTTCTTTAAGTTTCAGATGCCCGACGAAGTCATTAATTTAAACACGAAAAAAATAATAAACGAAACGAATAATCACGTTATTATTAATAATAATAATAATAACAATAATGATAACGACAGTAAAAATTTGGAAAGAGATAATAATAATCCGAACACGTCGATACAAGTTGACATACCCGAAGAATTATCATCCCTAAGGACAAAGAGTTTGGGAAATTCATCGACGGCCAAGAAAAATTTCGTTAGAAACAAAGATGGCGGCGTCGGCGGCGGTTTGTCAAAATTGGGTTTTGTTAGAACGTCGGATTTAAGGTCACGACAAAAAAGTTCATCGGATTCCAGTTATACCAACGTTGGTAATATTGTTTTATTATAATAATAATAATAATAATAATAATAATAAATTGTAATTAGTTATCCAAGGTCGTTTAAATACGAAAAAGAAAACTATGTCGTTTTTCGGCTGCTGTTTGTTTGTTTGTTTGTTGACGTAATTTTTCGATTGACGATTACAAAAAATTACGATGATTAATTATTTGTTTAATAATCGATTGGGGGGGGGGAGATGGAGGGGGCGAATTATTTATTCGTTTGCGAATACCTGAACCTTTTTAAATAATTTTTGTTTGTTTGTCAGGTTTCGAAGGAAGCAGCGATTTTCGTTGGTATAACAACAACGATAAGCCGGATAACAATCAATCGAACGTATTTAATTCAAAATGGTTGACGAATAATCACGATGTCAAATCAGAAAACGGTTATAAAAATCAAACAAACGGGTTTCACACGTCGGAAAGTGACATTTTTCCAATCAGAGGAGGCGGTGGCGTTGGCGTCGGCGGTGGCGGTTATTCAAACGAATCATCTTCGAAATCCAATTCTTTATTTAAAAGTTCATCGAATTCTCAAATATCATCGTCATCGACGACGAAAGGAACGACAACATATCAATCGAACAGACAATTAAAATTTACCGGAAACAATGGCGGAAGACCTTTATCCGTATTATCAATGCCTCCTCAACCTTACATTCCTCATCCGTCATTGAATTATCCTCCACCGTATAAAAATTGTTGTCCGTGCGCGACCGCGAGCAATTGGAATAAAAGAACGGGGGTAATTTAATAATGATAATTATGATAATAATAATAATAATAAGTATTGAATTTTGAATTGAAAAAAAAAAAATGATTTTGTTACAGAACAATGCGGAATCGACGTTGAGTTTAACGGACGATGTTGAAACACCGGAAGGATTATCGTGGAGGAGGTTACACATGTCGAGAGCAAAATTAAAAGCTACTGCCACGACATCGGAATTATTATCGGGTTTTGCAATGGTACCCCCTCCCCTTCCCGCCCTTTTTTGACGTCACATAAGTTAATATTTATCGAATCATTATTATTATTATTATTATTGTTGATTTCAGGTCGCTATGGTGGAATTACAAATAAATTCACCGACGGACGTGCCTGAATGGTTGTTTGTATTATTTGCCGTTTGTACAACAATATTAGTGTCGGTACACATTTTTGCACTAATGATAAGCACGTACCTGTTGCCGAACATAGATGCCGTAAGCAAATTACACGTATCGTCTTTGGTCACGGAGTCCCCCCACGACAGAATGAAAAGTTTCATAGAACTCGCTTGGGCATTTTCAACCATTTTGGGACTTTTTCTATTCCTCGTCGAAGTGAGTGAGGGGAGGTGGTGGTGGTGGGGAGGTGGGGGAGTAATCTTATTTCTTCTGTTTTCTTTTCCTTCCAGATTGCGATACTCTGTTGGGTTAAATTTTGGGATTATTCTTTCAAAGCCGCCATATCCGCGACCATGATCGTCATACCCGTTTTGATACTTTTCGTAGCGTTCGCCATACATTTCTATCACTCTCTCGTCGTTATCAAATGTAAATCATCCGTGTCAAACATGCAAGAATTGGAAAATATAAAAAGACAATTGGATAACGTATCCCCGGCGTGACGTAAACGTTTTCCCCCCCCCCCCTAATAATAATAATAATAAAATTAATTCTCTTTATCGTGCGTGTGCGCGTGCGCGTTTTAATCAAATAAATAAATCGTCGTTAATTTCAAATAATAATAATAATAATAATAATAATAATAGGAATTTTTTAAGGTTTTATTTGTTATTAAATAAATTATAAGCAAATGTTAATAAA